CTTTTAAGAAAATGATACCAGGGATGCCTGGGTGGCTCAGTCCGTTAAGTGCTGACTCTTGGATTTGGGTTCAGGCAGGTCATGATTTCAGAGTCATGAGATCAAGCTCTGAATGGAGAGTGATTAAGACTTTCTTCCTCTCCCTCTACCCCTCTTCCCCTCAAAGAAAGAAAGGAAGGAAGGAAGAAAGAGAAAGGGAGGGAGGGAGGGATGAACAAAGGAAGGTGGAAGGGAAAATGATACCATGTTTGTTAGCAGTGTTAATTCTAAGAAGTATCATTAGGACCTTATTTTTTCACAATCAAATGAAAGTACCTGGATGATCAGAAATTCTCCTGATAAAGTTGAAATACTTTAGTATTTTATACTAAAGTACGTACATAATACTTTGAGTACTGGTAGTAGGCAGTATTTCTTAAAAACCTTCTTGCTTTGGAATTCCACTAAGCAGAAAAATGGAAATAAGTATCGGTGACAGTGTTACTGAAAGAACTGGTTCAACTCACTGGAAGCAGATCTTCTTCAAAATCATTAACAATGATTTTTTTAATGAGTAATTTTGATTCAGGAGTGTGTGCGTATAGGGACTGAATTGTATCCGCTACCCCTAAATTCATATACTGAAGCGCTAGCCCTCAATGTGAGGGTATGTGGAGACTGGGCTTTTGAGGATGTAATTAAGGACAAATAGGTCATAAGGGTGGGATCTTAATGCAATCTGAGTGGTGTCCTTCTAAGAGGAACAGACAAAGTTTGCAGGGCACAGAGGAAGGACCAGGTGAAGACATAGCAAGAAGTCAGCAGTCTACAGGACAGGAAGAGAATTCTTACCAGAAACCAAGCCTATGTGCACCTTGATCTTGGACTTCCAGACTCCAAAACTATGAGAAAATACATTTCTATTGTTTAAGACCCCCAGTCTGTGGTATTTTGTTATGGTAGCCCAAGCAGACAAATAGGAGTTAAATTTTTTTTTTTTTTTTTTTAGTTTCCTCTTTTCTTTCCCTATAAAACGCTACAGTTGCATAATAACAAATCTATACGATATCGCTTTTCATTACATGTTGCCATCATAGTTGCCATAGCCACACACTGTAAGAAAAGCAACGTGAAACCCCTATGTTACTTCAGTACAAAATAGATTTTCTGTACATCAGCGTGGTTATGTGTAAATTCCTCTGTCTTCCTTGATCATAGCTCCGTATGGGTCTACTCTGACTTCCATAACAAAATGCCATAGACTGGGGGACTTAAGCAGCATATATTTTCTCACAGCTCTGGAGACTGGAAGTCCCATATCAAGGGTCCAGCCAATCTGGTTTCTGGTGAGAACTCTTCTGGGCTTGCTAAACACTACCTTCTCACACTGTCCACACAGGGCATTTCCTCTGTGCTGGAGTGTCAAGGAGAGGGGGCGCTCTGTCTGGTCTCTCTTCCTGTAAAGACACTAATCCCATCAGATCAGGACCCCACCCTCATTTAACCTTAGAGGTCCCATCTCCAAATACAGTCCTGGAGGTTAGGACTTCAACATAAGAATTCTAAGCAAAACAAACATTCAGTCCATAAAAACCTCTAAACATAACAACCTGCCTTCCTAGGCTATCATTTAATAAAATGTCAGAGCTCCCTACCTCTAGTGGAAAAGAGAGACAACAAAAAGCTGTTCAGTATACAAACACTGAGATAAAATGCTGTATTTTTAAAATGATTCATTTTCATAGTATGTCAATGATACATACCATTCAAGTGCTACAGGGGATTTGGTCAGAGAAAAGCAAATTTCTTTATTTTTTTAAGATTTTTATTTATTTATTTGACAGAGATCACAAGTAGGCAGAGAAGCAGGCAGAGAAAGAGAGGAGGAAGCAGGCTCCCTGCCAAGCAGAGAGCCCAATGTGGGGCTCAATCCCAGGACCCTGAGATCATGACCTGAGCCGAAGGCAGAGGCTTAACCCACTGAGCCACCCAGGCACCCCGAGAAAAGCAAATTTAAACTATAGGAATGATTCTCTGAAGACCTGGGAGAGGCTAAACCATGCAATGAAAACAAAGTCCCCAATTACCTGGGAACTGGCAGGTAACCTGGGAACAGGCTTGAGTGTTACTGGGTGGTCTTGCAGGGAAATAATCATTCAAATACAAAACTCTCCAACAGAGAGATATTCAAAGTGCTTTCCTTTTGATTTAGTTAACATATGGCCACACAGTAGTCCCAGCTATGATCTGTGCTTTATCACATTCCTTGAAAAATCTACTATAGACAATTACATTAACACAGCCAAAAGATAGGTGTCTTAAAAGAGAGCCAAAATTGAGCATTCCCAATCTATTCCCTGAGAATCTATATCCCAGCCAATATCCTAGAGGATTAAAAACCTTTTTAGGTTTCATCAAAATGGTTCTACCAGAAAGGAAAGAACAGTCCTGTGTATATACTTTTTAAATTACTACAGTTGCTCTAGTCCCCTCCCTCCTCTCACTATATCCTCAACTGAACTGACAGATTAGTTTTTCCAGAGCTCCATAACTCCACTATTAAAAATTATGCCTCTGGCCACCTGAATCAAACACAAACCCTCTGCCTATCATTTAAGTAAGACTCTCCACAATCAAAGCCCACCATATTCTATTCTAGCTTCACTGCCAGACTCAAAACTTGCCCCAAATGCAATGCTAACCCTTGTTCCTCGCCTGACTTGAAAGCTCTTCTGCCTTCTCCTCCATTTGCCATCCATAGCCTTTCCATTCTTTGTGGGTCACCTCCTCCATGAAGCACTCTCTGATGACATCACCGCCACCAATTCTTCCTTCAGTCAACAACTTTGCATTAAGAACCTATTCTGTTCCAGAAGTTGAGAGGGCTCTTTCTTCCTAATTGTTTTTGTCCACATTGTCTGTGACTTACATTTAAAACTCTTACTACTGTCCAAGTCTTCCAATATGTCACTTTATATTTGTGGAAAAGGATCTCAAATGTTTTATTTACTAGTTGGTTCTTCTGTGCAATCTCACAAGTTACTTGGGTTTGTAGGTGATTTGTCTTGGGAACCAACACATACACATCTTTTATACTGTCCATAGCACATGATAAAGGGCTAAATATCTTGCTATTAACTGGTGTTAAATATGTTTTCACTTGCAAACCTTGTGAATACTTTTGTGCCTTTCTTTGAGGGACAGAAGGAAAGAGAGAAGAGGTTGACATCCCTGGAAGAGTTTTTTCAGTTGCCTATCATTGTCCTTAACTGTAATTTGTTAACAAGTATTTCTGGAGTTCCTACTATGTGTCAGATACAGGCACAAATATTCTATTATGGTAGAGCCTTAATCACAGCCTTAGTTCGCTAGGTACCTATTATTGTTCTCTGCACATAGTTAACACTCAACAAGTACGTGTTGAGTGACTATATGAATGTAGCCTCCTGCTCTCAAGCATCTCATATTTTAGCAGTGTAGGGGTAAATAGGCTATAGGTGATGAATAAATAAGTAGATGAGCTAGGTGATTTCAGAGCGTGATAATTACTATGGAGAAAATTTTAAAATGATAATATTATGCAGTTTGCCAATTTGGTTTTCTGTTGTTTTTTTGTTTTGTTTTGTTTTGTTTTTAAAGATTTTATTTATTTATTTGACAGAGATCACAAGTAGGCAGAGAGGCAGGCAGAGAGAGAGGAAGGGAAGCAGGCTCCCTGCCAGAGAGCCCGATGTAGGGCTTGATGCCAGGACCCTGGGACCACGATCTGAGCCGAAGGCAGAGGCTTTAACCCACTGAGCCACCCAGGCCCCCCCTTGTTTTGTTTTGTTTTGTTTTAGTCAGCCAAGTCAAGCTACCCATCAGCATGACTTAGTGGACAATATTGCGATCTCTGACGGCAGAATTCCTGGGTTCACAACCCTGCCTTCTTCCCCCACTGTGTGGCTCTGGACAAATTACTTAACCTTTCTGGCCTCATTATCCCCATCCTCTAACAGTACCTACTGCATAAGATGGGTTGAGGATTTTAAAAAAGTTGATAAGCAAAGTACTTGGTACTGTGCCTGGCAACCTAGGAAGCCTTTTAGAAATGCCAGTGATCATCACGGCCGGCCGTCAGGTTAACTCACCCGACGCCAAGCGGAGGTGAGAACCTCAGGCGCCCTCTGTCCCTGAGCCCCAGCCCAGATCCTCGCCTCATGCCCCAGGCAGGTTATCAAGCTGGGGCTAGCGGGGCTGAGTTTTGACCTTGAAATGAGGTCCTAAGAGGCCGAGGGGTCGGTGCCCAGTCCATCTGCGAAGACGGACGGAGATGGACAAGGGCTGCGGGGCTCGGGGTGGGCGGCGGGCTTCCCAGCTCCTCCCTCGGGCAGGAGGCCTCGAGGGCTCACACCAGCTCACCCCGGAGGCCCAGCAGCGGCTGGGGATGGGCCGGGCTCTGCCCAGCGCCCGCCTCTCGGAGCAGCGGTTCGCTGCCGAAGGGGTCGGAACCGCGGCGCCCAGCGCCTTGTCTCCCCGCCCCCAGCCCAACGGTCGCCGGCGCGCTGCCCTCCCAGGGTGCAAGGCCGCGGGCGGGCCTGGCGATTGGCCGGGAGAGTGCGAGGGGCACGCGGGCGGGGGCGGGGGCGGGGACGGAGATGGGGGGCGGGGGGCGGGCACAAGAGCGCAGGCGGCGCGGCCGGCACGCGGCGCTCGCGCTCCCTGCTTAAATGAGCCTGGGCTCCCCGCGCCCGCCACTTCAGAGGGGCTCGCGCCGCGGCCGCGGGAGGAGCGGCCCGTGCGGGTGCCGTCCCTCGCGCCAGCGCGCCTCGGCTCCGGGGCAGTCGATGGGACAGAGCGCCGCGGAACAAGAGGCGGCGCCCGTCGGGGGGCTCGGGCAGCGCGGGAGCCCGCCGGGGGACTCGAGCATGGCGCGCTGCAGGACCTGAGCCCTGCCCCGCGGGGAGAGGCAGCCTGGTGGCGGGCGATGGGGGACGACCGGGACTGCCGCCGCGCGGGGCCGTGAGCGCCGCGCCGCCGCCTCCTCGCCGCCGCCGCCGCCTCGGCCCCTCGCGAAGCGCCGGGCCGCTCGGGAACATGGCCCTGGAGCAGCTCTGCGCGGTCCTCAAAGGTAAGCGCCGGGGGCCGCGGACGGCGCCCCCTGCGGGCCGAGGCCGGCGTCTTCGCGTCCCTCCCGGGCGCCCGACGCGCCTCTTTGTCTGGTCCGCGCGGACCTCGGAGCTCTCGCGCCCAGCCGGATCGACTTGCTCGAGGAGCGCCTCTCCCCTAGCCCTCTGCGTGTGGGCAGGCTCCGCGGGGCGCTGGTGGGAACGCGCGGTAGAACGGGAAGCAGCGGCCCGGCGGGGCCCTCCGAGCCGTGTCCTCGCGCCTCTTCGTTTCAGTTCCGCGCATCGCTTCGCAAAGTTGTGGGGTCCGTGTAACTGGGGCTAAGGCCGGTCTTTTTCAGCATTCAGTGACAAAGTCACTCCACGCAAACAATAAAAGCCCCGGCCGAGGCGTCGCTGAGCCGCTCTTGACAAGCCCCGCGCTGGCGGGTGGCGGGTGGCCGGTGGCGGAACGGCCTGCGAACCGGGCCGGGTCCCACCTGCTGCGGCCGCGGAGGCTGCGGCACCACTGCGGGAGCCGAGACCCAGCTCGGCCCGGCCCAGAGCCCGCAGCTCGCGGCCGCGCCCCGGCCCTTCCCGGGACCTCGGAATACCGTGCCGCTGGTGTCGTTCTTTTTGATTTGTGGCACCGGGAATTAAAACCGTGGGCTTGCCAAGCGTTCAAAGCTCCCAAACACTCTAGAGCTGTTTTTGCATTTTCCTGGAGGTGTTAATTTACATTGAAATTTTTATGCATGGATAATTAAGGTTGTGATACAAAGTTGCTTCCGAAACTCGGACTGAATAATTCCTTTTTTTCAGTCGTCAGAGGAACAGCATCACCACCAAAAAAACGGCTTCCCTTTTCCCCCACTGATTTAAATTGAAAACTGAATAGCTGTATGTTGACAATGCTATGAAATATTCTCTTTTTTATATTGGGTAAGGAGTTAAGGTATTGTATTAGCAGTGTCACATATAGATTATTGTATCCTGATATTTGTACAGTGACAAATGTTGAGTGGTTTTTTCCCATTCCAAATTAACACTTTTTTCAAATTTGTTTATTAGAAAATTCAATATAATTTTGCTTTTAATTTTAACTGGACAATTGCCTGCTTTCCAGATTTTCCTAAATGCATAACTGAGACTTCAGCAGTTTAATTTCAAATGTTTCCCCAATTGTATACTTAGAGACTTATACCAGGACTTTCTACCTAGTGAGTATTTCATATCACTCCATGAATTCTTAGTGATTCCTTCACTAAATTAAAATTTAAAATTCTGGGGGCGACTGGGTGGCTCAGTCGTTAAGCGTCTGCCCTCGGCTTAGGTCATGCATGATCCCAGGGCCCACATCGGGCTCCTTGCTCGGCGGGGAGCCTGCTTCTCCCTTTCCCACTCCCCCGCTTGTGTTCCCTCATTCGCTGTGTCGCTCTCTGTCAAATAAATAAAATCTTTAAAAAAAAATTTAAAACTCTAATAATTTAGTATAGTTTTCCTATCTGTAAATCCTAATTTGTGTAGCCATTCCTTGGAAATTAGATTGTTTTATTCTTCCAAAATAAATTCTATATGCACAGTAGGTTTTCGGTTAGTGTTCATTATCCAGATTTGTTTCGTTGTCTTGATTGCTTTACGGTTATCGACATCATGACACTCCATCTGGGCAGCCCCCTAAGGAGAAATAAGTTAGCCCTGTTAAACACAGCTCTACCTGCGGAACTTTATGGGAACTGAGCGGGATAGGACAGAATTGCTGGTCCTGAATCCTGAAGGTATTTGCAGCTTTTCTGCCTATACTTTTGTCATTGGTACATACTGCCCTCTCTGGTCACTGTGGTGAAGCATTTAGTTGTCGCGCCTTTCAGGAAAGAATGCTGTGGTGATGGCTGAGCTGACAGTGAAAACAATGTAGTATTTGGCTTTGCTTTTTAGTGTACACTAAAACCTACAATTGTTTTACATGCTGGAGCATTTTTACAGCTCAAACTAAGTTGCTGTAGACTTGCTAGAGATGAAACAAGCTATTTTTAAGTCTTCTAAAGTTTGTGTGTGTGTGTGCTTGTAAATATGGGGAATTGGTCTAGAAAGATTCAAGAAATTAATGAAAGTTGATTGTGAGAAGCAAATCTGCGAGATAGAGACCAGAGTGAAGGGAAGACTTCTATTTCACTGCACCCCCATTTGTAACCCTTGATTTTTTTTTTTTTACCAAATGCTGTGTGTTACCTATACAAAAATTGTTATTTTTAATTTTTAAAAATTATAGAAAAATACTAGATTTTCCTAGCGCTCCCATTCATGGTGTGCATTAAGGCATGAAAAAGCAGCCCTTAAGTATTCTGTGAGGTGAATTGCTTTAATGCTGAAGAGGTTCTTATCAAAAGCAGTTATTTAATAGTTGCATAATTATAGCTGTTACCTATCCAAAGCCTTGTTTGCAGTATTGTGGTCAGTTTTAACTAAAACAAATCATCCATAATGAATGTGTGAGATCTTAAGTAGAAGGTAATTTTCTTTAAGATGCCATTGATTCTTTTTGTTTTACTCTCAGCGGTAAGAACAAAAGGATAACTCTACTAGGCTTTTCAAACATTTCATATGTTGTTAAAACTGAATAATTCACTTTTAACTGTTTATGATCCCTCCGGGTCTTATAAAATTTGATTTAACTTTCTGTCAAAGTTAAATAAGCATCATAGTCACATGAAAATATTGCATTAGTATTATAAGCCCATTTTTTACTATTTTATTCAGTCTTCACACTTTAGAAGAATCCTATTAGATTCAGTTATATTTAAACTGTATAAACTACTATAAAATTTATCGTGTAAGAGCATAAATATCCCTCAGCACTATATTTTTAAAATCTTACCTAAGACTGACAAAAATTAATTCCTGTCGATTTTTCACATGCCTCATCCAAAATCTAGTAAACTATACAAAAATAAGTGCAGTACTGGAAAGCTGTCCCTTTAATCGTGAAGTTTTAAACACAGTCTTATTAAAAATTAACTTGTTGACTTTTCTCCCCTGGAACAAGGGAAATGTTTTAAGGCTGAAAATTGAAGTCTGACTAAACACTGATTTTATTATAGTAAATCCTCAATCTAGAATCCATTTTATCTATGTTTTGAAATCAGATTCATCCCTTAGAAAAAAACAAGCAGCCCTGTAATACACATATGCATTACAAAACAAGTTCAATCCAAAGTTTTAAAATAATCTCATGTTATGTTTTTGGTTATTACTCATTCAGCAGTCTCCTATAGTTTTTTTTTTTTTCAGTCTCATTTTTTCATTTTATGCTCCTTGCAGAGTAATTCTTGATTAAAAAATGTGTCCCTCAATCACTATGCAATCCCAGTTATTATGCTTTGATTTGAAAAGGGAAACCCTCAGATTAGTTATTGGGTCCATTAGTTTCCAGACTTTCTGTAGAGGAGAACTTTTCAAAAGGAACCCTTCTGAGGGGGTACTTAAAAACAAACTATACAGGGGCGCCTGGGTGGCTCAGTGTGTTAAGCCCCTGCCTTCGGCTCAGGTCATGGCCTCAGGGTCCAGCGATTGAGCCCCACATCGGGCTCTCTGCTCAGCGGGAAGCCTGCTTCCCCCTCTCTCTCTGCCTGCCTCTCTGACTACTTGTGATCTCTCTGTCAAATAAATAAATAAAGTCTTCTAAAAAAAAAAAAAAACTATACAAAGATCATAGATAAGAGCCAGGTTGCTGTAATTGGTGAGGGACCTCACCCTCTCAAAGGATCATCGGAATGGCCTCCCAGAACTAATACTTTTTAACATGTTTATTATTGTCACTCAAAATTGCAGTGTACTAATCTGAAACGTCAGTTCTTCCTGAGCAAAATGGCATTAAAACATGTTGGTTTAAACATGTTTAAACATGCCTGGGCTAGTATGTTGGAAATTACAGCACTAGTGGGTAAGGAGATACCACTCTTTAAAAATGTGACCTGGTCAACTTAAAATTTGTTGCTGTGAATGTCTAAAGAAGACTCCTATAAAAAGAGAACATACAAAACTGCCCCCTTAGGAGCACTTGGCCAGCAAGGAGGTTGCCACATTCTGCAGGAAAGAAAGCATTTCTGCTATAGTTAGTCTTTCTTAAAATGGTTGGCAGTTGATTAGCATATGTAGGTTGGAGATCCCAAAGTTTGCCAAGTCCATCCTCTTTCTTAACTAATAAGTAAAATTGAGTTTGATTAAATTTGGGTACTCTGTTTTGTGGAACATAGTTTTATCAAAAACAAGTTACTACTAACTCAAGTAGTATGTGGACTCTCATCGAACTCTATTCTGCTTTCATAATAGAAAATAGTAGAGAGCTGGGGTGCCTGGGTGGCTCAGTCAGTTAGGCATCTGCCTTTGGCTCAGGTCATGATCCTGGGGTCCTGGTATCGAGTCCTGCATGGGGCTCCGTGCTGGGCAGGAAGCCTGCTTCTCCCTCTCCTGCTCCCCCTGCTTGTGTTCCCTCTCTCTCTCTCTCTCTCTCTCTCTCTCTGTCAAATAAATAAATAAGTTAAATTAAATTTTAAAAAATAGTAAAGAACAAAGAGACATTACGGCCATTATTATATCTGGCATCTCATGATAGATTCTACAGACCTTACATTTTCCACTTTGGTGCTTAAAACAGGAAGGCTTATTGGAAAGAGGCACATTTAAATACTAACAGAGGTAAATTGAGCCTTCCTGAGAAAAGTAAGCTTAGTGGCTGGACATCTGAGAAGAAAAAAAAAGTCAGTTCTTTTTCTGTCCCTTGACTTATGCTTAATAAAAGAAGCTGGGGGGGCGCCTGGGTGGCTCAGTGGGTTAAGCCGCTGCCTTCGGCTCAGGTCATGATCTCAGGGTCCTGGGATCGAGTCCCACGTCGGGCTCTCTGCTCAGCAGGGAGCCTGCTTCTCTCTCTCTGCCTGCCTCTCTGTCTACTTGTGATCTCTGTCAAATAAATAAATAAAATCTTTAAATAAGTAAATAAATAAATAAATAAATGAAGCTGGGTCAT